TAATTAAAAATGTCTCCAGACCTTCACTACTTATTGATTTTCTTTATTTGGGCCCTGCTGATTTTTAATTGGTCATCCCTCCTCTAGAGGAGAATTATTTCTACAAAGCTTCATTCCACAACAACCAGGAAGTATTTAGAGAAGCTTTATTTTCCTCAGGTACCAGAAGGGACCCAGAAAGTGAGTGAGAAATCGACCAAACCGAAAAGAAACTGAAGAACCAGAGCCCAGCGGATCTAGACTCAGGAGTCTGTTAGAAACCCAGTGGATGCTGCATGTTGCTCTCAGAGCTGCAGCACGCAGTCTGTGCCGGGGTACGCAGGCAGGCTGAGCTGGTACTTCTTCTCCAAGGCCGCCGGGACGAAGCGTCCTCCCAGGAAGTGGTAGCGTCCTCGGAACGAGGAGGCGGATTTCTTGGGCGCCGTCAGAGAGATCAGCGTGTCGGGCTGGAGGCCGTCTGCGCTGCCCTGCTCCACATCCCAGCCTTCAAAGGAAGAAGAACGGGGATCAGGACATGGAGCGTAAAGGTCAAAGGTCATCATCACTTAGGTCGGGTCTGAAGAGTCCTGATGTGAGCAGATCATTAATATTCTACTTTTTTACCACTAGGGGCACTAGAGCTGTACCTTCCAGGCTGATAACAGCTCTCCAGTGTCTCTGAATCAGCAGTTTTCAAACTTTGAGGAAAAAAATAAAGTGTTCATGCAGCTTATGTCAACATAAAGCTTAATCATTTAATAATCGGATTGTTAACGATTCTTTAAAGCAGAAAGGATTTAAACGCATTTATTTTCTCAGGAAATACATTAATAACCTTTGACACATTGTAGTTTAGTACACTTACTATTTTTAGGGAAGGAAAAACTTAATTTAGGTCTTTTTTTTTTTACAAAGTAAAATTCGGAGCGACCTGGATGTATATCTGGTGGAACAAATGAGCTGATGGTTCGGATCCGGTAAAGACAAGCTTGACCCTCCTACTTCCTGGAAGGAAATTAGGTGTTTTTTTGTTTGTTTTTTATGAGGCTTTTCCCCTCGATTCTAAAATTTGGTCTGGGTTGGGGGTTTTATCTACATGTAGAAGAAGGAAAAACGGCTGTTTCAAATACTTGTAAAACTCTGGATTAAATCCTCCATCAGAGAACCAGAAATGTGATCATTAACGCTCGGGGCTAACAATCGTTAGCTGAGTTAGCTCTGGTGTTTAATGGGCGCTCCGACTGACGGAAAGCGGCGCTTTAAGGAGAGCCTAAAAATGTAAAATATCTCAAATGAAGCTAATGCTGGGGTCAAATGTTACTTGGTGCTGCTTAGAGTTTAATAATTCTAGTGGTTCCTAGAATTTCTAAAAGTAGAATGGGAGGCAGATCTTTTAGTTCTCAGGCTCCTCTCCTGTGGAACCAACTACCAGTTTTAGTCCGTGAGGCAGACACCCTGTCTACTTTTAAGGCTAGGCTTAAAACTTTCCTTTTTGATAAAGCTTATAGTTAGAGTGGCTCAGGTTATCCTGATCTATCTCTATAGTTCTGCTGCTATAGGCTTAGACTGCTGGAGGACATAGGGACCCCTTTTTCATCCTTCTATCTCTATTCTTTCTGCTTTTTCTCATAGTAGCTTCATCTGGTCTGTTCCTGTTTGGCTGTGACTCCATCCTGGAGAGAAATATCAGCTGTGCTGCTGCCATCAACACCTTTGTTTCTAGATGTTGGAGCTTGGCCTGTTTTCCAGTGTAGTCCTGTTTCTCTGACTGTGACTAACTGGATGTGCTCTCTTCATCCTCTGACATGGGAGCTGGCTCGGAGCTCGTCTGCCTGGCTGTGTGTTTCCTGGACGGGGCCGCCTGTGGAGCTGGTTGACAGTTGCCTTTTGTATCTATGCTTCTTTTTCTATGTCTGCTTCTGTCTCCTTGAACCCCAGTGGGCCCCAGCAGATGGCCGCTCACACTGAGCCTGGTTCTGCTGGAGGTTTCTTCCTGTTCAAAGGGAGTTTTTCCTCTCCACTGTCGCTACAAGCATGCTTAGTGTGAGGGATTGCTGAAGAGTCAATGAGTCGATGCAATCAGCTGGTTTTCCTTAGATAGAAAACTTTGAATCAATCTGACTGGATGATCTGGTGAACTGGAAAGTGACCTGAGATGACATGATGGGAATTGGAGCTATAGAAATAAACTGAATAGAATTGAATTAAACATTCAAACATGTTAAAAAACAAACTGAATAATAAAACTGGGAACAGGCACTGTGCTGACAGCAGCTCCGGTTTAAAAGAAGATTCTGCTTGATATCATCCCGTCTAAACTCTGTGGGTCTGAGCCAGATCTGCGTGTTTCTGATTTTTAAGCGGTTTGGTCCAAGTTGCCTTAAACTGACAGCCGACCGAGAGCCAAACAGGAAGTGGTCCTGACCTGATGGGATGTCGATGCTGGCGATGGGGGCCGTGGTCTTCTTCAGAACATCCAGGATGGAACCGAAAGGTTCTCGCACGGCTCCCTTAAAGCTGAAGCCGAAGATGGCGTCGACCACCAGGTTGTACGCTTCATCGATGACCTCAGCCTGAGGAAACAGAGGAAACAGGATCCGGTTCTTTCAGGTCTGATTATCGGCGCTAAAGCTACGGTTAGCATCAGGGAATAAAGGCACAGATGACGGATCGGATCCCACCTCTGGCATTTCGGTCAGGAAGGGGATCTCCATCTTCTCACACTGCGTGGTCAGACCTTGGAACAGCGGTTTGTTTGGCCTCTTAGGGTACAGGATGGTGGGCTCATAACCCTGCAGCACAAACATTTCATTCTCTTCGGCACCTTTAACCCGACACAGACGCCTCACCACAGCTGGTAAACAGTTAAATTCACTCACAAACAGCTTGAGGTGTCGAGCGCAGACCAGACCGTCGCCGCCGTTGTTTCCTGGTCCACAGATGACCAGCAGAGAAGGCTTGGATTTGACCAGAGAAGAGAGCGGGTACGCCTGCAGGGAAGCAAAGAACAATAAACTAACAGAGAGACAAAAACTAGCACCAAGGACAGCGCCGCCATTAGCCTGCAGAACCAGGACCACAGAGGAACCCGATTAGCTTGGTGCTAAACCCGATCAGAACGTTTATCTGCTAATCAGCACCAGGTATGGGGGGAAATTAGTGCCATTATTGTTGGAAAAAATAAAATAAAATTGTAAATGGAAACTGGGAAAAAGCACATTTTGTACCTTGAAATTTGGAATAAGGTGCAACCAGGAAGGACATTTTGAAAAAAAATATATATATATTTTCATTAATTTTTGACATTTTTGTTTATTCTATTTATTCCAACAACTATTTTTACAAATGTTATATGTTCAAAATTAGTTTTTTAATATTTATAATCTTATTTATAATTCTTTTTCCAAATTTCTCTTTTTCAGATGGAGTTTTATGAATTGCTTTCTTTTCAAACTGTGTTTTCAGGATCAGCCCTCTTCACTTTCAGCCTAATCTAAACTCCTTGTTTTGTTACTTAGAATTAAAATGTTTAGATTCTCAGCGAACTTTAAGCCTTTTATTCAGAGCACCTCAGACCCAGAGGATCTAGGCGCTGCACACTGCAGCCCAGCTGCTCCCTGAATAATGAGTTTAATGTGAAATGCAAAAGCTGCTGGGAATGATTTCACGGTTAGAAAGAGTCTGACCCGTGTGATGGCGGTGGCGCAGCTGAGTCCAGCCAGCTCCATCAGCTGATCCACGCTGAAGCCGTATTCACTGAAGAGCTCCTCGTCGATCTTCTGGGCCTCCTCCTGCCTGTGAGGAGTCCACAGCTCAGCTCCACACCTTCAGCAGGTCGGTTTTCACCAACAAACACACCCGTTGTGACCTTACCCGAGGTATTTGACAGCGTGGGCCATCGTAGATGCTTGTCGGCTGCTGAAACAGTTCTTCTTGTGGAGGTCAGCTGCAGCAGAAGAAGAACATGTCCCCGTCTGAGAGAGAGAAGCCGCGGCTCGCGAGGTCACCAGAAAGCCGATCCCAAGCAGAGCCCGGACGTTCAACATCCAGAGACGGATAGAAGATCCTGGGAGGAGAAGACGACCGAGGAGAGTTTACTTTAAAAGATATTTACCTCAAACATGTGAGAGACCCTGCAGCTGCAGCCCAATGAGAAAACTACAGGAGATCAAGAAGATTATGTTGAGTTCTCATCTTATCTTTCATTCATTTGGAGGAAAAATATTGAATTAAAGGAGAAGTCCAGTCATATTCAGATTTCATCTTCTGAAAGTACTTTAAATTAGGGGTGTAAATCACACCCATCATGGCGATTTGATTTAGTTTCAATTTCCTGACCCAACAATTCGATTATTTTCGATACTCGAGAATTACGTCCAGGAGCAAATGGATAAAAACAGACCGGAGGAAAAAAAAAACATGAATCAACGCTCTTGCAGACGTGTCGATGCATCGATATAAAACGATTATTATTTACACCCTAATTTAAATATGAAATTATTATTTACTGATTAAAGCTAAATTCATTTAATCCCTGCGACCATATTAGTTTTAGGTATAAATAATGATCCATTGATGATTCCTTGCTGACCGAACTTTTCCTCTAAAAAGTGACAAAAAGACATTTCCATTTACGCCAAAGTAAGGGTAAAAGACAGATATCTGATTAAGATAATGTTAATAGCTGTGAAGAAAGCTTTACAAGGAAACAGGGAAAGGAGAATCCAACCCGTCAAGAACAATCGGCAGGAATAATAGAAGAAATCTACATTATGGAAAAACTGACACATCGTTTGAGAGTTCAGCAAACTCAAATGGAAGAAAAGTGGATGAAATGGGAAACATTCAAGACAGCGACAAAAATAAAGAACTAGATAAACCAGATGGGACAAAGGTGAAATGTAGAAATGGCTCCAAAGGTTGTATGTTATGTTGAATGTGAATTGTTCATGTACATTTTTGTATGTAAACAGTGAAAAATACTAATAAACAGTTAATATTTTTTTTTTAAAGTGATTTCCATTGGAGTAAGGAAGCAGTGGGAGTGAAAATGTTCATGATCTCATCCTCAAATAAATAAATATTGATGTTGATTAAACTTTCCCTGTCCTTTACTTTATAACAGTCAGATAAATTAACCAGCAAGAAAAACAAAACAACTTTAAAACCTTAATAAATGTTCCTATAAATATAATAAAAATTATTAACTGCTCAAATAATAAATTAAAATCTGTATTTAAAAAAACTGTGCTCAAAATAAAGCAAAATACCATTAATTAAGTAAAAATGAATATTTATTTATTTCACTTTAAAATACTGTTTGATTTAAAAGCGAAACTATCAGATAACATATTAACATTAATTTGAGAAAATTTATTTTCATTGTAGAAATGAATAATAACTAGTAAAAATAGCCGCCTAATTAGACCTGGTTAAAAATAAATCACTATTAATAATAATAATAATAATAATAATACCAAACTATGTGTTTAGTAAAACTATCAAATAAATATAAAACTAGCACCCAATTTAAATTAAAATTTCCCTCTAAATGTTCCTTAAAAGAAACATTTTCACACCCCGTTTGAAAAAAAACCTTATTTGATGTTTTAAAGACATTAGCTGGTCTGTAGCTGTTAAAGTTTTCATGCTAACAGCTGTTAGCCACCGATGGTTTCTGACTTTTAACATAAATGTTGTTCTGTGACTGAATTTGATCTTTAGAAATAAGTTCTGAGGTGTTTAAAACAAAGTGGACCAACCTAAAGCCTGGTGAAGATCAGCAGGAGGTCTGCAGCTCAGAAGGTTAGCTAGTTAGCTTAGCCCTGTGCTACGCCGGACTCCAGCCGGAAGTTTAAGAACTACATAACAGAGTAAAAGCTGCCTTTTCAAATTAAAAGCCCGTTCAGTAAAAATCCAACTCTTAACATCTGATTTAAATCTGTTTAGAAATGATAACAGACGGACAAAATATCTGCGAGTTTTGGTATTTTAAATATTAAAATGCATACAAGTGTATTTCATGATTGTAAAAGAACAAATTTATACAAAATAAATTAATAAACTAATCCTTACAATAAGAACCGTATGTTGGGAAACGTTAATTCCATTGACAATATCTACTGTATAAATAAATCGGAATTTTTTTTTATTTATTTATTTATTTTTTACTCCAGTAGTAGCAGAGATGGAAAAAGGAGAAAAGATGAAAGAAATAGGAGATTTGAATTTGGAAAATCAGACTTCTGAGCAAAATTTCTATCCATTATTAAGTTGTTATTATTAAGAGACAATATTTATATAGCAATTTGCATATAGAAAAAGACCCCTTTATGATATGTGGTTGGAAAATTTAGCTTCTCTTGTTTTATATTTTGATTTATCCTATTTACTCACTATAAAAGTTTTCATTCAGTCTGTTTCACCTGCAAGGCCACGCAATTCTCCTGTGTGAGAGTGTTTTTAGGTAAGACAGACCTTATTCCCATAAGAAACCAGATTCTTTCTCAAGGTTTATTCAAAACATGTTACTGTTTAACCAAAGTTTCTCTAATTAGTTTTGACTCTGAATATTTTCCAGGCAGAACAGGGCTGATTACCGAGCAATAATGGCCGTATGATGAACTGTTTTCCTCTCTTTGCAAAGATAAAAATAAAGTGCCACCTGAGTGAAATCCATCAGTCTCAGTTTATTTAACTGGAGGAAATAGTTGGATACATTTTTCCCCACTACAGATCCCTAAGGAGAGAAGGAGAGAGGCATTATGAATACTCGGAAAAGGCTGAGGTAAAGAGAAAACAAAATCTATCCTGAAGGGGGCTTTGATAATCTAGTGGAGTAGGTCTAAAAGCACAACATTCTTCAGCCAGGCCTGTAAAGCTCTTCTCTTTCCCTTTGTTCTTATTAGCGATCTTTAGATGTCTCCCAAATATCGTTTATGTCAGCTACGATAATAAAGTAGGATTCATGTAGCTTCCTGGATGAGGGTGGAATAAAAAAAAAATTTGGTACTGTAAAGTTAAATAGTTGCTTTCTTTCTCCCGTACATTTTTATTTTGGTAATTGTTGACCTATTAGAAGGAAATATTAAAGCAAAGTTTTATTCAAGTTTCTAATTCTACAAATAAATAAGGGAAAAAATCGAATCTAAAATGTTTATTAAAAGCTATTTGCATGATTCCGTAAAAGTTCAAAAAATCCACTGGACTTGGTTTCCAAGATTTGAAGACGTTTTGGTCGGTCCGACCCTCAGAATCATAGACAGGTTTCAGATATTACAGGCTAACAATGGAACCAAACGACCCA